AACTCTTAATTTAAGTAAATACTTTTATACTGATACGGAAAACAACGGTTGGTAAAAATTACAAAACAATTAATAAAACTCTTAATTTAAGTAAATACTTTTAACGTTAAAATATTTATTTCTATGAGTTTTTTAAAAGTCAACTTATGAATATAAGTAACCAAATAACACCCATATAACATTTATAATTTAATGTACAAGTGAGTAAAATCAGTCATTCTCCCTTTTTACTTCCTTACTGGAACTCGTGGGGGTCCATAGGGATGTCCTCCTGCTCGTGAACCAATATGTAGATTTGTCAATTTACCCGGTCGTTTTCATACTCCGTCCGGTAATAAGCGTCAAACACAATTGTCTCGATATTCCGTCTTATATAAGGTGAACTATATCTCCCAAACCCTTTCGTTTTGAGATTTCTCAATCCTGTTCGACTGAGATAATATCTACAGTAAAGTTCTCCATGTACTGGGTTCGTTTATTATTTCCCAAGATACTCAGTAAGCTTATATATATATATATATATTATCATCGTCCAAACAACCACAAATCGCATATCAACATCTCGTTACATATTCACAGATTAATTAAAATGATATATAAACAAGCGATACAGTTTAATATAACCGAATAACCAAGTAACCAGATAACTAAATAAATAGTATAGGAGAAACTAAATAGACTAAGTAATCGAGAACACATTTTAAACTAGAAATTTAATGCACACAATGAAATAGTAAACATCTTAAATAATACAGGAAGAAATAAACAGTAAACCAGAGCAATTGTATACTGAGCAGTTCCGGCTCCATTGGTGATCTAAAATTATTGTTAGGATTTTTTTAATTTTCACAAAACATGAAATTATTGATTATTAAGCATCAATTCACCGTAACAGAGAATAAGGTGAAAGATCCTTACTCGAATTGGTATTTCGAAATACTGTACTATCTACTACGTCTTCTAACATATCTTGAATTACCTGAATTTTTCATGCGTAAATCAAAATACTCGTCATATACCTAAAAAAATATCCTAAAAACTCAAAACTAGTGTCGAAAAACCTTTCTGATCAATTTTAGGATTTCAGCACGGCGGTGCCATCGTGCTTTGGCGTTGGCTCCATCGCGCTTTAACATTGGCTTTGCGGCCCACGACGGTGGTTTGCCTCAGCCCAACCGATTTTTGTCAGTTTTAGCCGGTTTTATACGTATCCTTATGAGGAAACACGTTATGAAGCCTCAGTTGGCTAAAAAAAAATAAAAAAACCAAACCTATGGACTGGGGGGATTTTCGAGTGCAGCGGCTCAACTAATTCTCCTTCGCAGCTGGGGTTTTTTATTCAGGTAACCCGTACAGAAAGGGACGATGAACACAATGGTCAAAGAATTATGTGAAATGGAAAATGGGAAGGGGCTCATCGGAGGAGTTTTATGGTTTTGGCTGTAACGACTCTCCCAAATGTTGCTCTTAGTTTTCAGCTCATCTGCCGTCCCTTTTGCTCCGATATGGCCACAAAGAGACTCTGAATTGAATTCTGAGTGGGAAGAAAGTTTTTTTTTACCTTTTTTGGCAGTCGGCGATGGGTCTGGTGTGGCGGCGGTCGGGGGCTGGTCTTCTTATCTGCCGAGGGTATGACAACTAGGATTTGAGTTTCCCTACGAAGAGTAGTTTAAATACGCTCTTCTCTTCGATCCGAGTTGTTTGTTTGCGTCGACGTGGAGCGAGGAGGACCATTTGATGGTTTCCCGTTTAGGCTGAAAGCGTGGGCGAATTCGAGCCGTCCATCGTGATCCATCATCTAGGCCATTCACACACGCATGATGAGATTTGGGCAGTCAGATCGCTGAGCACGCGGATCACTTGCGTGGTGCCGATGTCAGCGGGGTTGCCATACGGCGTGCTCCGGTTCGCCGGGGCTGCTGATTGGGCCGTCCCACGTTACCAAACTTTTCTTTTTAGCATTTTAATTCTCTGTATCTAATTTTTCTTTAAAAAATACATTTTGAATTCAAAATTTCACTCATTTTTTTCAAAATTACTTCAATTTCGCCCCTAATTTATTTTTCTAAA